ATCCCTTTTTACGATAAGATGGGGAATACCTCTGTAGGCTCCGGACCTGGAGGTGTTATCTCGAATGTGGAAGATCTGGTGTGGATATTCTCCATCATCTGCTTGACATGAGACGCTATACTGAAGATGCTTTTCAAGACAACGTGGTTGCAAACTCTTATTCTAAATGGGCGCCATCCCATTACGAATGACAGCATAATTCCTAGTGCCGCTATCGCAAAAACAGCGGAAGGCGTGTCGCTTGCCGCACCATTTCCCCTTGATCCATCTGTGAGTCCGGAGGCGTATGGCTTGGGACAAGCCAGTTACTCATACCAAGGACATTATGTGTGTTCTTTTTTTTCCACTCACACTACGCAAATAAACTGACCGTATCTCGGTGATAGATTGTGGAACACAGTGGAGGAACTGTCGGACATTACACAGTTATCTCGCGAGCTCCTTTCGATGGAATCGGCATTGCTATTTTGACTAATGCTTATCCTCCGGGCGGGTCACCGCTCATGGAATTGGTGAAATGGCGGCTATACGAGAAGGCATTAGGATTGAAACATGTCGATTGGGATTCAAAGTGAGAATTCTTCATTCTTGATTAGTACCACATTTAGTTGATCATAATTTATTTAGGTATTCTACTCGGTCATCAAATAAATCTTCGACGGTGAAGAAGCCTTCTACAGTCCAAACGACACTTCCACTATCCTCCTACACTGGGATATATTTTAATCCAGCCTATGGAACTGTCATCCTCTGTCCCTATCGAAATTCCTCCTCCATCCAATCCCAGCAACATCGAGATCATTGCCAATCGACAGTATCCGAAATATCTCAAACACTTCCAGGACGGCACCCTGAATTTGTCTTTGCCTGGGATAAATATTGGTCTACCCATGTCATCGTTTCCCATTCTGATGGTGATAGATTTGCAGGCCGATCATTCATATTGTTTCCTCCTCCCTTCCCTAACAGTAAGGATGAAGAGGACAACAAACCCTTTGCCGTTGACTTTGGAGAGTTGGATGCTGGTATGAAATTTGTGGTGGAGAAAGGGCCTGATGGAAAGGATAAGGTGGTGGGAATTGCGCTGAAGGACGTCTGGGGTTCTGGAAATGGTGGTGAAAT